TCATACCACCGGATCGTACACCACTGAGTCGTACACCACTGGGCCGTACACCACTGGGTCGTACACCACTGGGCCGTACACCACTGGGTCGTACACCACTGGGTCGTACACCACTGGGTCGTACACCACTGGGTCGTACACCACTGGGTCGTACACCACTGGGTCGTACACCACTGGGCCGTACACCACTGGGTCGTACACCACTGGGCCGTACACCACTGGGTCGTACACCACTGGGTCGTACACCACTGGGCCGTACACCACTGGGTCGTACACCACTGGGTCGTACACCACTGGGCCGTACACCACTGGGTCGTACACCACTGGGTCGTACACCACCGGGTGTCACACCACCATCACACCCGGGAGGGGTGAAGAACCACTCGGTGGCATTATTTCCTACGTTTAAGTACAGGTTAACACAAATTGAGGAGGGTGGCCACCCCCCTCAATGGAAGAGTCGCTTCCCCCCCCCCCCCGAAATTATGTACAATTTTGTACTATTAACTCCAAGTCACCAGTTCCGAACCAATAACTATACTCAAGTGTAGTTTTGTGTGTATTTAAAGGGTGGGAAGGTTCGGGGTCGTGAAGCAAGGCCGTCTATACTGAAGTGTGCGTCATTGTATTAATATACTTATTAATATAAGTGGGAGTTAGATGGACTGGGGAGGGAGTGAGGGGAGAGAGAGAGAGGGATGAGGGGGCGTGAGGGGGCATGAGGGGCGTCCAGGCGGGGTGAGAGGGGGTGGAGAGGGGCGGACAACTTCAGTTACAGCCTCGTAACATCAAGGTAATAAAACCTAAGATGATGCAGTAAATTATTCACGAAGCCATTGTGATGACTCCACACTCCTCTTACTTCTGGGTAGTGTGAGGGGGTGTCCAGGTGGTGTGAGGGGGCGTCCAGGTGGTGTGAGGGGGCGTCCAGGTGGTGTGAGGGGGCGTCCAGGTGGTGTGAGGGGGCGTCCAGGTGGTGTGAGGGGGCGTCCAGGTGGTGTGAGGGGGCGTCCAGGTGGTGTGAGGGGGCGTCCAGGTGGTGTGAGGGGGCGTCCAGGTGGTGTGAGGGGGCGTCCAGGTGGTGTGTGCGGCCTCCAGACGGTGTGAGGGGGGAATAGTGGAGCAGGGGAATGTGCATAAGAGTCAGAGTGGTGTGCAACTACATAATTAAAATATTATATCTTACGAGTATTCCAAATGTTAGACCAACACACGCTGGTACTAACCTCCACCACGACACACAAGCGAGACAGGGTAAGAAGAGTAAGGGGAGACATGATCACCACCTACAAAATTCTCAGAGGAATTAAGAGGGTTGATAAGGATAAACTTTTTAACGCAAACAAGGGGACACAGGTGGAGACTGAGTACCCAAATGAGCCTCAGGGACGTTAGAAAGAACTTTTTCAGTGCCAGAGTTGTTAACAAGTGGAATACATTAGGCAGTGATGTGGTGGAGGCTGACTCCATACACAGTTTCAAATGTAGATATGATAGAGCCCAGTAGGCTCAGGAATCTGTACATCAGTTGATTGACGATTGAGAGGCGGGACTAAAGAGCCAGAACTCAACCTCCCCCCGCAAGCACAACTAGGTGAGTACAAAGCATAAAAAACGAGACGTGTCACGGGGAAACTCGTAAAATCCCTGCTAATTCCAATTCCAGACAAGGGGGTATTCATTAAAACACATAAAACTCCTATTTGCGCTTGCCTCTGCGCATCGCAAATGCTCTCAGCTCTCCCCCTTCCCCCCCCCCCACACACGCACAAAAAAAAGTTCAAACAGAAACAGCCAGGATAGTCTCAGTAATCCTACAGTTTCCAGGAAATGGCACTCTCCGCCACTGACGTCACACTGTCAACAAACTTTAAACGCTATTTTCACCGAGGGTTCTGAATGGGGGGAGAGTCCTCGATTAATCCCAAGTGTCAACACAGCTCCAACCAAAGCCTAAGGCAACCTGTATTGTCCAGTGAAGAAAATTCAAGTGCGATGTACAAATACCAAACTGGCGTTAGGGTGGGGAAGGGTGGGGGGGGGGGGAAAGGACGTAGGAGAAGGTAGCGGGTGGGGGGGTTGAGATAGGGAAGTAGATAAACTCAATCAACTTTTTTTTTTTAAGGCACTCTCTTATCACTAGCCACTCCTACTTTTACAGAAATCTAAACTTAATTGTTAGAAAATACAACTTAAAAGGATGGATATATATATATATATATATATATATATATATATATATATATATATATATATATATATATATATATATATATATATATATATATATATATGTATGTGTGTGTGTGTGTGTGTGTGTGTGTGTGTGTGTGTGTGTGTGTGTAGCAGGTCTACAGGATAGGATAACGCAACTCCTCACCAAGGAGACCACCAGCTGGACACTAAGAATAACGAAGGAACTACTGTCACACAAGATGGATTACTGGTTCACCGTGAGGAACCCTTCCACATGCTGAATCAACGCGAACCATACAACCACCGCCCCAACGAACACAACCTAACCCACAACACAAGTTCTACTACTGTTACTTTCATACAAAGTTGTTACAACGGAATAACGTTAAAAAACGTTGTAGTTATCGTTGTGTATGGGTGACGGTGGTAAGGGCCAGCAGCGAGCCCAACTGCCTTGTTGACCAGTCCAGCAACGAGGAAGTCTGGTCGACGACCGGGCCGCGGAGTCGCTAATCCCCGAAATCACCTCAAGCTAGGGTGGCTCCTTGGCATGAGTGACTATATAACGCCGCATGCAAGAGTCCAGGGGCCAGATTCACGAAAGCACTTACGCAAGCACTTACGAACGTGTACATCTTTCCTCAATCTTTGACGGCTTTGGTTACATTTATTAAACAGTTTACAAGCATGAAAACTTCCCATTCAACTGTTGTTATTGTTATAAACAGCCTCCTGGTGCTTCGGAGCTCATTAACTGTTTAATAATTGGAAACAAAGCCGCCAAAAATTGAGGAAAGATGTACACGTTCGTAAGTGCTTGCGTAAGTGCTTTCGTGAATCTGGTCCCAGTACAACAGTTCACGACCAAAGACCACACTGACCCCCCCTAAAAAAAATCTTCCACTAACTTAAACTAATCTTAAAGCCTGACTGAGCCTAACATCGATTGCAAGATGCGATTCTATTGAAATGCTTTGACGGGACAGAACTGATTGTGTCTGGCACGGCATATTAGGGAGCCGGTCGGCCGAGCGGACAGCACGCTGGACTTATGATCCTGTGGTCCCGGGTTCGATCCCGGGCGCCGGCGAGAAACAATGGGGCAGAGTTTCTTTCACCCTATGCCCCGTGTTACCTAGCAGTAAAATAGGTACCTGGGTGTTAGTCAGCTGTCACGGGCTGCTTCCTGGGGGTGGAGGCCTGGTCGAAGACCGGGCCGCGGGGACACTATAAAGCCCCCGAAATCATCTCAAGATAACCTCAAGATATCCTTTTCGACGCGCGGCAACAATACGTGGTTTTCCCACGCCCAGTGAGTGGTAACTGCGTGTTTTGTCGACGTAACCCACTTCACATGCATTATGCCAGGAATAACTGCAGCAGGCCGTCAGGTGCAGCCCATGGGGGGGGAGGGGAGGGGGGAGTGGGGGGGGGAGGGGGGAGGGGAGGGAGGGCGATGACTAGTTTAAAACTTCTCAGTTGGGTGTAACACTTTTCACAAGGTGGTGCTCGACAGAGTGAGTGAGTAAGTGAACGAGTGAGTGAGTGAACGACCGAGTGAGTGAACGACCGAGTGAGTGAACGATCAAGTGAGTGAGTGAACAGACCGAGTGAGTGAACGACCGAGTGAGTGAACGATCGAGTGAGTGAACGATCGAGTGAGTGAACGACCGAGTGAGTGAACGACCGAGTGAGTGAACGACCGAGTGAGTGAACGATCGAGTGAGTGAACGATCGAGTGAGTGAACGACCGAGTGAGTGAACGATCGAGTGAGTGAACGATCGAGTGAGTGAGTGAACGACCGAGTGAGTGAACGACCGAGTGAGTGAGTGAACGACCGAGTGAGTGAGTGAACGACCGAGTGAGTGAGTGAACGACCGAGTGAGTGACCAGGGAGTGAACGACCAAGTGAGTGAACGATCGAGTGAGTGAGTGAACGACCGAGTGAGTGAACGAGTGAAAGATCGAACGATTGAGTGTGTGTGTGTGTGTGTGTGTGTGTGTGTGTGTGTGTGTGTGTGTGTGTGTGTGTGTGTGTACTCACCTAGTTGTACTCACCTAGTTGTGTTTGCGGGGGTTGAGCTCTGGCTCTTTGGTCCCGCCTCTCAACCGTCAATCAACAGGTGTACAGATTCCTGAGCCTATCGGGCTCTGTCATATCTACACTTGAAACTGTGTATGGAGTGAGCCTCCACCACATCACCCCCTAATGCATTCCATTTGTCAACCACTCTGACACTAAAAAAGTTCTTTCTAATATCTCTGTGGCTCATTTGGGCACTCAGTTTCCACCTGTGTCCCCTTGTGCGTGTTCCCCTTGTGTTAAATAGACTGTCTTTGTCTACCCTATCAATCCCCTTCAGAATCTTGAATGTGGTGATCATGTCCCCCCTAACTCTTCTGTCTTCCAGCGAAGTGAGGTTTAATTCCCGTAGTCTCTCCTCGTAGCTCATACCTCTCAGCTCGGGTACTAGTCTGGTGGCAAACCTTTGAACCTTTTCCAGTTTAGTCTTATCCTTGACTAGATATGGACTCCATGCTGGGGCTGCATACTCCAGGATAGGCCTGACATATGTGGTATACAAAGTTCTGAATGATTCTTTACACAAGTTTCTGATGCCGTTCGTATGTTGGCCAGCCTGGCATATGCCGCTGATGTTATCCGCTTGATATGTGCTGCAGGAGACAGGTCTGGCGTGATATCAACCCCCAAGTCTTTTTCCTTCTCTGACTCCTGAAGAATTTCCTCTCCCAGATGATACCTTGTATCTGGCCTCCTGCTCCCTACACCTATCTTCATTACATTACATTTGGTTGGGTTAAACTCTAACAACCATTTGTTCGACCATTCCTTCAGCTTGTCTAGGTCTTCTTGAAGCCTCAAACAGTCCTCTTCTGTTTTAATCCTTCTCATAATTTTAGCATCGTCCGCAAACATTGAGAGAAATGAATCGATACCCTCCGGGAGATCATTTACATATATCAGAAACAAGATAGGACCGAGTACAGAGCCCTGTGGGACTCCACTGGTGACTTCACGCCAATCGGAGGTCTCACCCCTCACCGTAACTCTCTGCTTCCTATTGCTTAGATACTCCCTTATCCACTGGAGCACCTTACCAGCTA